GCCACTGACCAGCTGATACTTCCTATGACAAGTGGGAATATTTTTCCTGACAGGTGCTGACATACAAAACCTAGGCTTGGTTTCGGAGTAACTTTCCTCTTCGAACAGCATGACAACACTTAAGAAAAGCAGGACACTTTGCTTCTAGTTTTAAGTGGTTGGTTTTTTTCTTTCTTTGGTAAAAGCTCAAAACAGGCTGGTAAGAGAGAAAATAAGCCCACTCCATTTCTCCTTCTCACTTTCCCATCATTTCAGAGAATTCAGTCTGATCTCTAAAACTTGTGATAGCTACAGTAATATACTGCTAAAACAGAAATAAGTAATTACTGAACAAAGGATCACTTACAGCTGACAGGAACAAAATGGGCTATGTAGAGGCCAAGAACCTCAGCTTCAGACAAAAATAGCAAATAGCCAAGTGTTCAGCAAATCTATATTGCACCTTTTGCCCAGACTGCAAGACATATAGTAGACAAAACTTACAGAACAGCTGGACAGAGAGCCTATTTAAACACGTTGCTGCTTACTTTCTCAGCATGTGCTGAAATGTAAAGTGTTGGCTTACACGGGGAAGGAGCTATTACTGACTTCTCTTTTGACCTTGCTCCTGGGGGCAAGCCTAAGAAGCTTAGGATCACAAAAGGGGTCTGAGGAACGGAGGTATCTCTCTGGTACCTACCCACACTCGTCCAACCTTCACCCCACCCTCCAGGAGTCGTCCACTGGTTTTGTGCTATTAGTGCCATTGCTCAGATCCCTTTCCAGTGGACAGCACCCCAGAGCGCTCAGCTTCTCAATCAGCTCAGCGCTAGAGGCAGGCGCAGAGGTCACGCACAGCCCCTGGAAGGAGGCATGCAAGGCAGTGCCAGTCTGCTCAGGCTGAGCCATCTTCCCCCTGCAAAAACAGCAGCACTGTGATATTTCAGGCTCTCCCAGTGTCAGGATCCTGACATGCACTATATGTAGCTGCAAATCCCAATCAATTTCAACATTTCTTAACTGCTGGAACGCCTTTCTCAACACTGTAATTTACCCTCAAAAGAATAGGGAGCACGCACCCTCGCCTCCCCAGTACCACATTCCACTAAATGCCGCCCCCTCCCAGACCCCACTACCAAGCTACCTACGCAGGGGGGAAGGAGCCCTCAACAAAGCCCACAACAGACGGCCACAGTACATATGCCACTGACAAGAACTTTTATTTCTTTTTAATGACATTAAACACAACTGCTACAAGGGAAAAAACATGATAAAGAGGAGGCACCAAACTTCAGTTTCATAATTGATCCTGACAATAACTCAAGTAAATCAGGGCCTGCACTGGATACAAAACTACATACAGTTTACATCAGGCTCTTAAACCCTGTAAACAGAACAATTTTACTCTGCTTTGTCAAGACCTCTGCGGTGAGAATATCATCATGGATGAAAGCTAAGCTAAGCAATTAAATGCACATAACTCTTACTGAAAACAATACAGCAAGAATTCCACATGAAGTACTAGACTTAAAGGCCAACACCAAATGTGACATGAAGTTTTAAAAACGTTAGAACTTCAGATTCTACCCACTACCATCTTTAAGACAGCTATGCCGGATAATGAGTTTTCTTTGGCTTTGTTTTTTCTTCTCAAAGAATACCATGTTAACCACTAGAGAACAGTTCTCTCCTCCCCCAGTCCAACAGATTTAATTAAGCTGCTACAGCTTTGGAAAAACAGAATTATTTGAGCAAAGAGGAAATGTGATTGTCACATTTTCTAGTTAACCCGTCACTCACTCTATTTGGCAAAGGCAGAGCTCCACTGCACACTGTGACTTAAATCCTCCTGCACCAGGAAGGCAGAAACATCAGTTTAAAATTTTTGCCGCAGCAAAACACTGTCTCTTTCTTCCCTCCTTGGGTTACCTGTGGGGAACTCAACAGCTGCAATGCTAGTTGTTTCAGCTACAATTAATTTTTACTATGTTAAGGCTCCAGAGATGGATGTTTGCATGTCTTACTCCCTCAAGCTAATTTATGGAAACCCGGAGAAGTGACTGATGTAGTAAATGCCAATTATGTTCATTGAAATAATAGTTTTTGACTCTTGCCTTTGAACAGAATTTTGCATTTTGGTCCCAGAATCTAAGCCAACTGTCCAAAGACAAGTGCACCCTTGACCGGATAACAACAGTAAACACTCAGGGACATGAATCTAAATGACCAAGGTGGCCTAAATGACCTAGCTTCCCCCACATCAGTTTCTAAAGCAGGGTAGGATGTCTATGATGGGTTACTCACATACAAAGATGGACCAATTAAACAACGAAACCAGACAGAGGCAGCTAGCCCACATAGCCGTACAATCTTCACAGAGTGTCCAACAACAGCACTAATGCTGGACTGCAAAATCTCCCAAGAGATGTTTAGAGCTTTATGTAAAGAGAGAATAACAAACTCTTCAGACATCAATTAAGACAGCGACACAAAGACTATCAATTTGGGTTCGAATATCAAACTGTAACCTTTTCTGGGCACAGGCTTAATCAGGAGTTCTGTGAAATTTGTGCATCAGCAGTTTGACCAGATGAAAAGAGGGTCCAAAGGCACCTGTTGTTAACTAACAATGGAAACAAAAGAGTATGTCTCTGAAGTGTCTCCCACAGCAGGGATGGAGGCTTTCTAACTTGTCAACTCGAAGTTGGGGTACAGCAGATAAAAGTGAAGACCAACTGATACCTCAATGGCACTGGCTTTCTAGCCTATGATAGAGTCAAGATGCTGGGTAGGTTGCTCTTCAGTAAAGGCTGTTCTCAAGAGGCAATCAATGTCTAACAGGAAACAGGAATACACTGGTGGAACCCTAAGGAGCTTAATGGTCACTGGGAAGAAACGGAAAATCCTTAAAGAAGGCAAAAAAGAAAATCAGTCACAGACTACAATAAGGGTTTCTCAGTAATCTTCTGTCAGAGTTAGGTTGTATTAAGACTTGTAAACACTTGTGAAAATAAGTTTAGTGGAGAATGAGAAAAGGTGAAAATAAAGGCAACTAAATAGGTACAGAAAAAAGAACCTAAGATTTGACTGTAAATTTGTCTTTTCAACAATATTTTTGTCCTGCTCCATCCTGCCTCAAATGTCCTCAATTACCAACTTAAAAATTCTGACAGGTCTTTTCAGAAATTCAAATAAAAAAAGTAAGAGGGGCTGTTAAAGGTGACTTACATCCATGTATAAGTCATTGGCAACAATTAACTGGTTTACAGTCTAATAAAGAATCTCTTCCTTATAGGAGAATAAAAAGTGGTTTTCTTTTGGGCACCAGAATTAGAATTCACCTCTGCAGAGAAGTGGTGTTTGGCATCAGCCTGTGTGTTTTAGCTTAATGTTGGCTTTCAAGACACACAGACAGACAGACAGACAGACAGACAGACAGACAGACAGACAGACAGACAGACAGACAGACATACTCCACAGACCTTGAACAAAAAATTTCAAGTCAGCATTGCAGAATTTTCCAAAAAGTGACAAGTTCTTTAAATAAAAGTCTTGTGAAAATAAAATTCAAAATCTACAAAGCACAAAACAGCAGACACTGCTCTGGACAGGACCATGGATAAGGGCCTTCACTGCTGATGAGATGAGACAAAAGGACTGCACGAGAAATCTGTGAGACGCTGGAAACGATGGTGGCTTCGTTCATTCCGATCAACCCACTGAGTCAAGCTGTATCTCTGCAGAGGGTCCTGTCGGAACCGGGCATAGTTTCTATCAGGAGGGAAAATAAAAATAAGAAAGATGAGGGTTTCAACTGGGATGGCTATTTGTATACAGAAGAAACCAACGCAACTATTTTAAGAATATATTTTTGGAAACCGGATGTCAATTTTATATTTAATCCTCACAGTTTTAGAAATATGACACTATATTAGTTATATGAAAGACACATTATCAGTACTATTTCCTTTCAACTTGCAAAGCTACGTAATTCCATACAGATATTATGATATGTACCATATACATAAATGTTGTTAAAAATGTGTAAATGTTTAAGTAGGAAAAATATTCTCTTCCTCTAGAAACATTTTGAACGGGATCTTTATTTCATCGCTTGCATCAGACCTGTACCTCCAGCAAGACTTCATGGCCTGACATATTTTAAAAGATTGCTCAGGACACGTAGTTAAAATTAGAATAAAATTCTCAGAGAAGCTAAGTCATCATGTGAGTATTACACTATAAGTTTAGAGACTGAACAATTAATAGCACAGATTCAAAGTAAAGTTTCTTGAGCGTCTCCTGCTGGGCTAGGGTTCTAAACTGAATGCTCTGAGATAATTTGAGCCCATTCTCCATTCCAGCTGTTACTAATAAGCATCTGAGAAATCCTGAGCAAAGGAGAGACTATGACTTTGTTATAAAAGAATCTCTTTGGTCACTGAATTGAGAACATTATAAAAGCAAGGACACAGGGAGACCATTTAGGAGACTTGCAATAACCTAGGAGAAAATGATGAGAAATGGTCAGGTTTTAGATATATTTTGTATATAGTTTATAGCATTTGCTAACAGAATATAGGGTAGAACTGCAATGCAGGGTGAGAAAGAAAAGAGTCAAAGATGAATCCCAAGTTTTGAGTAACTGGATTAAAATATTTGAATTATTATTATTAAATCTATAAAACCACACTCTGAAGGGCCCTCCCTGGTGGTACAACAGGTTGAAGCACAGAACGTTGAAGCTGTCCACAGCCACTGCAGTACAAGTTGGATTCCCCAGCTGGGAACTGACCCACATGGCACTGCAGTGCCGTGGACCAGAGCAGCAGGAGCAGGAGACAAGTTTCAGGTATGGCAATTCTGGCGCCGGGTGGACAAGGATGAGGTTGAGTGACAGACAGACACGACTCCTAGGAGTGCATATCTGAATGTGATTTATTTTTAAGAGTGCAGAGCATTTATACAATTTTTCTTGGCAAGCAAATATAGGGGTACAGTGATTCTTTTAATAGAAGCGTGACAGGTAATACATTAATTTTTTTGTTTCTGAGATGTTGCCAGGGGCTCAAAACCAACTTGGGGCCCTAGGAAACCAAGGTTCAGTGGTGCTAAACAAATGCCCTATCTATCACTTATGCCTTGCTAATCCTTTTAATTGCTCTCTCCATTCTTTTCACAAGCCAGCTGGTGTACAGGAGATAATAGTTTAATAGAATTAAAGATTATAGAAAAGTTTCTCAGAGTTAAATCAATATTGAGAACAGAGGAGGCTACATTCCTTTCAAGCATATCATTAGAACGAAGCACAATGTCCATAACATTTCTTTGGTTCAGTACGTTGTGTGTCAGCAGAATCAGGAAACAAATGAAAAGTTACAGTGACCATTCAAGAATCAGCCATTTTTCTATTCTTGGAGGGCCACGTATTCCTCCCGTGTGCCCAGTACCTTGACCGTGCCAAGCTCTAAGGATTTCTCACTTAGGCGCCGTGGGAGGGGACGTGGCACTGCAGACCTCCCCTGTCCTGATTGCTGCCCCCCTCTGCAGTGTATTTCACTCAATCTGCCTGTTCTCCCCACTCTGTCTCTCCCACCCCGTACCTCTGGCCTGTACCCCAGCTCTTGTATGCATAAATAAAACACCACACACTCAAAAATCCAGAAGATTTTAGAATTAGAAAGGTCTTTGACATCAGTTAGTCCAACACCTTAATTTTACTGATGTGAAGATAAGTGATTTGATCACAACTAGACAGCTAGTTAAAAGTTGCAAAGCTGGGCCCTCCCTGGTGGCGCAGTGGGTTAAAGCGCAGCACTAAGAAGCTTAAGCCACTTCCTCATGAGTTCAATCCCCCCTGCCCCTGAGGAGATCCACATGGCCTGGCAGACCTCTCCTGACCCACCCGCTGCTCCCCTCAGCAGGGTACTTCGTCCATCTGCCTGTTCTGTTCCCCACTCTGTCTCTGGTGAATCCTCTCACCCTCCGCATCTCTGGCCTGTACCCCAGTTCTGTATGAATAAATAAATCTTTAAAAAAAAAAAACTGCAAAGCTAGTATTAGGACCTAAATTAGAAAAGGGATGCCAATTCAGTTCTTAGTCCATTATACATTATTGCTTCTTTTTTCTACCTCTGAATCTGAATTTGAACAATTATAACACCAATTCCCCCAACACATTTTTTTCCTATAGCCAATTCTACCCTCTTAATCCTTCTAGTCACCCACTCACCGCTTGGTGAGGTCTGAAGGATGCTGCCATTTTTGGTTCTGCAGATGATAAACTTGATCCATCAAGGCATTACGTTCCCCCACAGAACCTGAAATACAGAGGAATCAGTGGTTAGGAACCATGTCAATCATGCTGAACTCTTTTAGGGAAAGAAAACAGGCACTGGTCATAACACTAGCTATGATTATCACAAGCAGTCAGCACAAAACTACAAGCCAGAGAGCGAGCCTGGTCTTGGGTGATGATGAGATGGTGATGAAGCGCTAATGACAGTCATCACGCATTCATTCAACATTTATTAGCGCCAAAAGTATGTGAGGAACTTTACTGATCCTTAGGAAATGGATGTGGACAGACACTATTTTACAATGAAGTTATTTATATAGGAGACAAGGAAATCCAAAACTCATGAATAGGGCAACAACAGAAAAGGTACAGGCTGTTATACAAGCACAAAACGCGTGCGCGGGTGTATGTGTGTGTGTGTTTGTGTGTGTCTATACAATGAGTGGGGGACTTTTTCTAAACCAGAATTGTTAGATGTAACTTCTCACGTACTTGACAAAGTGCTAGATGCTTTACAGGTTACTTTATTTAAAACAATTCTTATATGGTGATAGACTGCATCATTAACATCACTGTAGAGATGGGAAAACTTGTTCATTGAGGTAAACTTACTTTAATGCTTATTAAATCAGATTCAAAATTAGTTCCAGGCCTTTGCCACTATTTGATAATGCTAATTTTGCATATTTACCTGAGGTAATGCTGAGGTTAGTGTTAGTCTGCGCAAAGATTTTTCAAATCCTGTGATAACCAATCATTTATTTAGAGTAAAAAGTCTTTTGCTGGGGCCCTCTCTGGTAATGCACTATGAAGCTATCCGCAGCCACTGCTACATGAGTTCAATCCCTGGCCAGGGAGCTGACCCACATGGCGCAACAGACCTCTCCTGTCTCACCTGCTGCTCCCCTCAGCAGTCTATTTCAGTTAACCTGTCTGTTTTGTTCCTCACTCTGTCTTTGGTGAACCTCTGCATAAGTAGAGGTTCTTCTATGCGTAAGTAAATAAATATATAAAAAAAGTGTTTTACTAAACACATCAGCCTACACATAAACCATGAATAAATAGTAATAAACAGAAATTTTCTCCAAGCATGAGATAATATTTTTCAGGAAAACTTCATAGATTCATTACATTGAGAATTTATGTGTGTGTGTGGGGGGTCTCCTGGTGGCCTAGGGGCTAAGTGTCAGCACTATCACCCCTGTGGCCTGAGTTCAGTCCCAATCAGGAAGATGACCCACATAGCACAGCAAACCATGTCTCACCCGCTGCTCCCTCCTAGCAGTGCATTTCAACACATGTGCCTGTTCTGCTTCCCATCCTTACCCTGAATTTTCTCAACACTGCACCTCTGGCCTATACCCCAGGTTTTTCTACACATAAATAAATAAATCTTGAAAGAAAAAAAAAGTTCCTGGGGCTTTCCTGGTGGCACAGTGATTAAAGCTCAGCACTATGAAGTTATCTGCAGCCACTGAAGCACAAGTTTGATCCCCGGCCAGGGAGCTGACCCACATGGTATAGTGGTCTCCTGTCCCCCGTTGCTTCCCCTCAGCAGTGTATTTCAGTATATCTGCTTATTCTTGTTCCCTACTGTTTCTGGTAAATCTTCTACCCCCCAGCACCTCTGGCCTGTACCCCAGTTATTGTATGCATAAATAAATCAATCTTAAAAAAAAAAAAAGTTCCTGTGTGATTAAAGAGCACAACCAAGGGTAAATGATAATTAACCAAGTGAAAAATATATTTGAAACATTTGATGACAGGTTCAATGTCCTTGTGTTTTTTAAAGATTTGTTTATTTATGCATGTAAGAACTGGGGTACAGGCCAGGGGTGAGAAGATTCACCAGAGATGGAGTGGGAGCAGAACAGGCAGACTAACTGAAATTCAATGTTGAGGCGAGCAGCAGGTGAGATAGGAGAGGTCTGCTGCACCATGCGGGTCAGCTCCCTGGCCAGAGATATTTAAATTTGTGATGTAGTGGCTGCAGACAGCCTCACAGTGCTTTGCTTTAACCTGTTGCAACACCAGGGAGGGTCCAGGTTCAATGTCCTCATTATACAAAGATAAGCCTGAACAAAATAGGTAAAGAATACTAATAGATAAGTCACAGAAGTAATATAAGTAATCAATAAACATAATGAAAAGATGTTCAATAATCTCAGATTGTTTATTTATATGTACAAGAGCTGGGGTGTAGTCCAGAGGTGGCAGGGTGGTGGTAAGAGGATTCACCAGAGACAAAGTGGGGAACAGAACAGGCGGACTGACTGAAATACACTGCTGAGGGGAGTAGCAGATGACACAGGAGAGATTAGCTGCACCAGGTGGGTCAACTCTCTGACTGGGGATCCAACTGGTGCTGCAGTGGCTGCAAATAGCTTCATAGTACTGAGACTTAACCCTCTGCACCACCAGGAGGCCCAGGGAAGAAAACATTTATCACACTCCTTAAGAAGGAAATATAAATTAGAAATGAGTTTTCCCTTTAAAAAGAGAAGCATGTTTTGATCTGAAAATCCCTTGCCTGCTGGATTGTTAAGTTAATATCAAAGATTTTGATCCAAACTGCCTTTCCTCTACTCTCACATCACTACCACCTTACTCCCTTTACCCCGCCATAGAAGTACATTTCTGTGTGTGTGTGTGTGTGTGTGTGTGTGTGTGTGTGTGTGTGTGTAGGGAGAAAGAGTGGCAAGGTATAATCAATCAGCCTTGTAAAGAGTTCAAGATACATTTTTCTTGCCAGAGCATCATCAAAGGAGGGCTGACGTGGAAATTCTGGTGTCCAATCTCAAAATGGCACAAGATTATACAAGATTATAGGTAGGCTATATCCTTCAGCTCGCTGAACTCTTACCACCTGATTCTATAAAACTGTCCTGACAATGGAGAATAAAGTTACTACATGCCTTCTATAAAACCTCTTTAAACTTAAAGGAGACTGATAAATTAAGCTCAAGGAGGCTTCAAGTATTCAAATAGTAGGATTCCAAATCTAGTAGGATTCCAAATCTATATATAAAACACCATTAATTTTTTAAGTTTACTGAATGTACAATGCACGCTACATGTATTAAATTCATTTCTTATTACAATCCTATGACATATTTCCCTCACTTTAGAGAGAGAAGCTGAAGTGTAGAATTCAGTAATTTGCGCAAGGTCACACATCTAGCAATAGAACCTGAATTCCAATACTACAATAGCTTCGAATGGTGGAGTTTCCTTAAAAAATGTTTCGGTGGCCCTCCCTGGTGGCGCAGCGGGTTAAAGCACAGCACTGAGAAGCTAAAGCCACTTCCGCATGAGTTTGATTCCCGCCTGCCCGGGAGTTGACCACATGGTGTGGCAGACCTCTCCTGACCCGGCCGCTGCTCCCCTCAGCAGTGTACTTCGTTGATCTGCCTGTTCTGCTCCCCATTCTGTCTCTGGTGAAGCCTCTTGCTACCCCTGCACCTCTAGCCTGTATCCCAGTTCTGTATGCATAAATAAAGAAATCTTTAAAAAAAAATGTTTCAGCAATTATTTCATAATTGGAATTAGAAAGCAAAAACCATACTGCATTTGTCTCTTACATACCTAGCACAAAGCTGAGTAAAAAGGGTTCAATAATTAGGTCTCAGCTTATGCATCAGGAAATGTTAGCTTTAATTAGCTCAACACACTAAGAACTTACTGATAGACTAGAGTATAGTCTAGATTTAACAATCTAGAAATGGAATAAAGAGAGCTAACATTTATCAAGCATTTATTATGTGCTGGACACTTTGCTAACTGTTTTACATGCATCCTATCTTTTAATCTTAACCAACGAGACAAGTATCATAAACTCCCTTTTATTTGTGAATAAACTGCAACTTAGAAAAGATACTTATCTATCACCTAGAAAGTCATAAAGTCAGGATTCAAATGCCATGTGGGGCCAATAATCCAAAAACCTTATTTCAGCTCATAGCTTCAATCTCTTCTTCCTCCAAATTTAGACATGCTAACAAGAATGGAAACATTTTAATTTTCCCTTCTCTTCATAGTCTCTTAACAGATGGGTTTTCTTGGACCAACAATCACAGTATCATGGGTTTATTTTAAGTTGTGGCTTAAAGGTGGTGAAAACGGTCCTTTGTTTTGTGGCTAAGAATGAAAAATGAAATTCATCTGAGAATGAAATTAGGAAGGAAAAAACCCACAACATTTCAGGAATGATATCAGCAATTCACCTAAACATTAATGCCTAAATTTGTAGCTGACTGGTTTTGGGAAAATCCACCTAATGACTATCCTTAATAAAAGTGACTTAATCAACTGTTATGAAAGAGGAATGAATAATGTTTGCTATGCCAAATGCCCCTCTGACAGGTTTTATAGATCACCATACATTTATACCACATGACCCTACTCGACCAAGTGTGGCAGGTGACCCACAGAACTGCTTCTGCTTCTGTGAACAAAAACACAGAATCTTCAATTGCTGAGAGGTAAACTGGCGCCAATGGTCAGAGGCAATCAGATGTTCTCCTTTGGAATGTGAATATCAGTAATAAGAACAAGAACAGCATTCAAACAAGACTCTAGGAGAGAAAAGACACTTGAGAGAACAAATAGAGCGCAGCAGAAGTACCAGTCACAGAGATAATACCACTACTAGTAGAATCACTTGAAATCAGCAGGAAAAACCTTAGGAGGAAACAAAGGCACCTATTTCCAGTGGGGTGAGGGCCCAGCTCTAGGGCTCATTCTTTTAATATGAAGCCTGGTTATACTGTTGGATATCTAATTTTCATTTCTTTCTGTAAGTCCTTAAACTCGGCTACTTAAAGGAAATCACAATGTCTTTATTCCATGTAATTAAAAAACCCAACAACATAATACAGAGGAAGGAAGAGGAAAAGGGGGAAAAAAAGTGTTAGAGATATAGGCCATTACTTTCATAAATAGATTAGTAAATTAGTACCAGTAAGAATGAAAGTTTGTTACTTTAAGATCAACAAAACTAAAAACTTGACTATTCTTGCAGAT